GTGATGTCGCAGTTGAAAAGGAAGTGCTTCAGTTATACACGCTTCTAATATCCATTGCTCGTATTTGATTAGTTCTCAGTTTTCTCTTTACTTGTCTTTGCTGCTATATGGAGTTAGTAAAGAAAGAAAAGCAAACTATGAAGCCTACTGTATTGTGGTAAAATTTATTGAGTATTCTGGAACCAACGGGTCATAGGACATGTTTATAAATTAAGTAGTTAAGTTACTTGTTTTACTAGATTTTTCTTTAGCAATGTGGTAGTTCTGCCTCTGGCGAGTGCAAGACAAGCAGGTTCCTTTATATATATTTGCCTCCTGTCATTAATAAAATTAAGATTATTAGTACACTAAAGCTAACATAATCTTCAATTTGAGCACATGTTGTTGATAAACGACGTGGGTCACCCTGTGTTCTTAATTACACGCATTTTTCACCGACAATGATGTGGGTCAGAGGAAAGGTGGTCTGCATCAATAATGATGCCCGAATGATGTAGGTATGATAAGACTAGGTGATCTGTGTCAATATTAGTACTATAATATTGTTGGTATGAGAAAGTGTCTCTGACAGCCACAGGTAATGATTATGGTGCATGGAGTGTTTCTTTAATGTTTTATTTAATACAATTGTGACTGTAGCCCTTTTCAATAAAATTATAGTGTCATGTCTTTTAAAGTATAGAGTAGAGGGGCGTGGTCTGGATGCCGACCGAGATGGCCGCATAGTTCCAGAGCTCTGCACAATCCACTCACAATCCAGCACCAGCCACGAGCATCGAGACCCAGACTGCAGCCACAACAGCTGGAAAATGCCAGGCTCACACTCCGGAGCCAAACAAAACCTGAAAAAAAAAGGGGATCGAAGGGAAACCGCCAGGACAGTGGCCGAAATGCTGGCGACACCACGAGGCAGGCAGGCCTCCCAAGATGGCCGCCGACAGAGCCCTCACGACTCCCTCTCCCCAGCATCCACAACGGGCAGTGACATACCCGAATTTCAAACGGGAGATACCCCACATATCTTAACAAAGCTGACGGAGGTCAGAAACTTTCTAGCCAAAGAAATTTACAATAGTACCAAAGAAGTTAAGGCAGAAATTCAAGCACTGGGTGCGCGGACGGCGGCCCTTGAAGATAAAATGGAGCAAGTCACAAGCGCTCACAATCTGGTGGTGACACATTCCAGGACCATGGGACAACAAATTGCAGACCTGGAAATGATGGTAGAAGAACTAGCCAGCCGCTCCAGGCGCAATAATGTGAGGCTCCGGGGACTCCCCGAATCTCCCAATGAGGGGGACCTGGTAAACAAAATGAAGCAGTACTTTAAGCAACTTATCCCAGGTATTCCGGACGAACACTGGGCAATTGACCGCGCACATAGAGCGCTCCGGGCCCGCAGAATGGAAGGACAGGCCCCAAGAGATATCATCCTCCGCTTTCACTACTACTCCACGAAGGAAGCGGTAATGAAATACGTAAGAAATAAAGATCTGACATACCAAGACGCAGCTATCAACTTGTATCAGGATCTATCCCCTACCACCCTACAACGCAGACGAAACTGGAGACCCCTGACGCTACTTCTACAAGAAAAGGAGATCAGATACACATGGGGACACCCCTTCAAATTAGTGGCCTTCAAATCCGGAACCACATACACGCTGCTGCCGGGAGCGGACCCGAAGAAATTCCTTAGGAGCATTCAAGTGGAACCACCACCAGGCTTCACCCTGACCCAGGAGACCTTGCCCGAGCTCAACACTCTGCCCGCAGAATGGACCACCGCCAAGGACTCAGCGGGTCGCCGACACTAAGGCCCCAAGAGGGAGCCACGGACTTCCATACATATTGCATAATCTGCTGATCTGGCTTCATGGTCAGGTAACCACTCGGGGACTGTCCTTACAGGGGGGGTGCTATGGCTCTCTCAAAACCTACACCAGCCTGGAGACAACAGGCAGTTCCCACCCTCCCAAAACACAAAAGACAGAGGAAAAAAGGGGAAATATATATATATATATATATATATATATATATATGTGAATACTAACAAAAACTCTAGACTGGTAAAATTGGATATAGCACACATTCATAGGGTTATCCGCTAAAATTGGAATTCAGGGCCATAGCAGCCAAACTTGAAAATTATTGTGGAGTCAGAGGCGTTTGTTCTCTTCTTCACTTTGGCTGATTTGACCTTTGAAATTTAAACGTACGATAAGCTCTCACGTTTTGAGAACGGCCCTGTGATTAACAGTTTTACTAATACCATTAAATCCATATTTTCATGCGATGTAATATTTTCTCAAGGTAATGAGCCACAACTTAGATGAAGTACACTGAGCATCAGTACATATGCGTGTATGTATGTATAGATACAGGGTAGTATTTCCTAGATAGGTCACGAAAAATCTGAAACATAGATTGTCCGGGAAATAACTCCAGTGGGCATTCTCTTTCTGGAAATGGAAGTCTCATTCCACGAACACTGCTCTAGCAGACTCCCCTCCTCCATTACAGCCTACAGAGGATCCCTACTGTCTTACTCCTTATACAATCGCCGAGTCTTGCAATTTTTCACCCTTGTGCTCTGTTGCAACTTAGCACAACCAGATATTTCTCTCAACCTGAGACATTTAAAGCAAAAAAAAAATTCAATTACTTGTTCTGCCCCCCCCCCCCAGATATAAAGGATGAGATAGGCACCCAAAAAGATGGCAGGCTGCATCTGACACCTCGCACAGAGGCACAGTGGATTGGTGAGCCACCCACCCCGGAATAGGACAGAATTCTGACCTGCGGGAGAGAGGTATATCCCCACTCCACTCTGGCAAACTGTAAGACCAGACTGAAAGTATATCGCTACATATGCTTGTATAAACCTTTTTATATGGTTAATAATTCTGTTATGTTTTTGTTCATGTTTATGATTTTCGGTTTACTATGCACGAGTGAAATGCTAATCCTGATACCCCAAAGGGACCGCCGGACAACAGCAACAGAAAGGGGGGAGACCAACAGACTCCTGACAGGTATGGACTCTCCGCCCCACACACACACAAGCACCCCATAAGACCGACCCAACCATGACGTTGAAAATACTATCCATAAACGCGAAAGGACTAAACACTCCTACCAAACGCAGACTATTATTGCGAGATTTGAAAACAAAGCGGGCCGACATAGCACTTGTACAGGAGACGCACATTCCTAAAGCCACATCGATCAAACTAGGGGACCGTCTCTACACCACAACATACAAGGCCAGGGCACTACGCAAACAAGCGGGAGTAGCTATACTCCTACATAAACGCTGCCCATTTACAGTGACACATAAACAGATAGACCCAGAAGGCAGATTCGTAGCCATAAGTGGCACCCACTATAACACTAAACTACATATCGTAAACTTATACGCACCCAACAACCCAGGCCGGGCTTATTGGGACACCATAGCATCCCTGCTCGCCACCCTGCAAGGGGGCATACTAGTAGTGGGAGGTGACCTCAACGCTGTTCCCTGCCCAGCAATCGACCGCAGTTCCAAACCAGGGACACAAAGATCTCAAGGCAGGGGGGGACAAGATAAACTCCTACACTCCTTTCTCCAACACACCGGACTCATGGATGCTTGGAGACTCCAACACCCAGACACAAGAGACTATACATACTACTCAGCACCACACAACACATACTCCAGAATAGACAATATCCTCCTCAATGGAGCTGGTATGGCCAAACTCATTCACTCAGAAATAAACAACATCACGTGGTCAGACCACGCTGATGTATCGATTACGCTGGGGAACCTCCAACACCACAACAACTGGACATGGAGACTCAACACAAACCTGCTCACCGACGAAGCAATACTCACCACAACGCGACAAAAAATCACGGACTATTTTAGTACCAACGACACGAAAGACGTTAACCCAACAACACTCTGGGCGGCACACAAAACCGTGTTGAGGGGACATCTCATACAGGCAGCCACTCATAAAAAAACGAACACAAACAAAACACCTACTAGAATTACAAACCGCCATGCGGAAGCTCGAACAACAACATAAACAAAACCCCTCCCCCAACACATACAACAAACTCCAAGGCGTCCGACACGCAATCAGGGAGCACACGATAGCAGAAATAACACGTTCTATACTATGGTCACGGCGCAAGTTTTATGAAAAAGCTAATAAAATTGACACACTACTAGCGCGTACGCTCAGACTGAGACAGGGATATAAACCCATCACAACGCTCCGTAACAAAGCCAACAAACTAGTTAACACCCCAAAAGACATCAATGACGCCTTTACAGAATACTTTCAGCAACTATATAACCTTTCACCCCAGGAGGGCGATGCCCAGACCCAACATCTCACCCGCATAGCCGACTTCCTAACCTACACTAACCTACCCAGGGTAACAACAGGAGAGGCCAACGCTCTGGAAGCACCCATCACACCGGAGGAGGTAGCGGCCTCTATCTCCGCCCTGAAGGGGAAAAAAGCACCAGGACCTGACGGCTACGATATGGGCTATTACAAAACATTTAAGACGGAACTAACACCCCCCCTCACCAAGCTATGTAACCACTTCCTTCAGGGGGGAACTCCAGACCGAGACATGGCCACCGCCAACATAATCTTACTGCCCAAACCCAACAAGGATACCACACTTGCCACAAACTACAGACCTATTTCCCTCATCAACACCGACTTAAAGGTATTCGCAAAAATATTGGCAACTAGACTGATTCCACTGCTGCCCAAATTAATACACCCAGATCAGGTCGGCTTCATGCCGGGACGCCAGTTATACGAAAATACACGCAGAGGTGCGGATTTGATATGGCACATATCACACACTAGGCTACCTGCCCTCGTCCTCTCCCTTGATGCGGAAAAGGCCTTCGATAGAGTACAATGGCCCTTTCTGTTCAAATTACTTCAAATGCAAGGCTTCCCAGAACCCTACATCACGGCAATAAAGGCCCTATACACGAACCTACAAGCACAAACCATAATTACAGTAGCACCAAAATCCCCATTCCAAGTGAGCAATGGAACGAGACAGGGCTGCCCCCTGTCCCCACTCCTATTTGCGATAGTTCTTGAGCCACTTCTACACCTCATCCGAGCTAACCCAAACATAAAAGGAGTGCACTTAGGAGATGAACAATTCAAAGTAGCTGCAAATGCAGATGACATACTCCTAACGCTCACAGACCCGACCCGATCAATGGCAAACCTAGAAAAGCTACTGCAGACATATGGAGACGTATCAGGATACAAAGTCAACCTCACTAAATCGACGGCACTGACGTTCCATATACCTGACCGGGAGGCACAACACATCAGACACACCTACCATATCAAAACCAACACAGACACACTCACGTATCTAGGCGTCAGACTCACAGCAGATCACAGCACACTATTTAAACATACTTACACTCCGCTGATCACGAAACTCAAGACGGACTTAGAAACCTGGACAGACAAACCCATCACGTGGCTAGGTCGCCTACACTCCATAAAAATGAACCTTTTACCAAGACTGCTATTCTTATTCCAAGCACTCCCGACACGAGTGGCCAAGAGTGACCTAGCTGGCCTGCAACAGGCAATAGACGCCTTTATCTGGCAGAGAAAGCGGCCAAGAATAGCCAAAAAAATACTGTATAACCCCAGGGGGAGAGGAGGCCTGGGTATGCCCCACCTCCACCATTACTATACCGCAGCCCAAGTCGCCCAAATAGCTCACTGGCACTGCCCCAAAAATCAACGCCACTGGGTTGACATAGAATCCCTCATGACAGGCGCAGACCTCCCGCAATTCCTCATATGGACACCGAGACAACACAGAACAATATTACGGACAGACTGCCCGGCCATCCTAAACTCCATTAGCGTATGGGACCAAATCGCTCAGAAATTCAAACTCACAAACCTCCCGTCCCCAATGACCCCAGTACTACGTAACAGAGCATTCCCACCGGGCCTAAGGGCACAAGATTTTAAAGGCATCGAAGCCACGAACCTACAACGCTATATTCACCTATATATAGACAACCAACTAGTAACATACCAACACTTACAAACCTTAGCCCCATTACAAACCCGCGACTTCTTCCGATATATACAATTACGGGATTTTGCACAAACCAATGAGGTCAAAATGGCAAATGCCAAGCCTCTTACCTTCTTTGAGCAAATCTGCCTAAAAGAAAGCATGCCAGCGAAACTAATCTCTCTGCTATACAACCACATATGCCTAGAATCAGGAACGTGGGGACCACAGACATACACAGACAAATGGGAAGCGGATCTGGGTGAAAAGCTAGAGGGGACGGAGTGGCAAGACATATGGGAGGCGAACACAAAAGTGTCTATATGCACGACCCTACAGGAACAAACATATAAAATAATGCTCCGGTGGTATACAACACCAGTCAAGCAACATCACATGCAACTCTGCCCCACTGACACCTGTTGGCGACTATGTGGAGAAAAAGGCACATACATCCACATGTGGTGGCAATGCCCCAAAGTAAAAGAGTTTTGGGGAAAAATAGTGGACATGCACACTAAAATCCTACACCGACAAATAACACTGGACCCTTGGGCATGCCTACTATCACGACCGACAAACGGACTAGACAAACACGACCAAAAACTTCTGAATATGCTCAATCTAGCAGCTCGCAGAGCACTGGCACAATACTGGATAAAACCAGAGATACCCCCACTATCTCTAGTAATTTCCAAAATCAGAGATAATTACTTAATGGACAAGATGACAGCTAACGTTCGGAACACTACCACCACATTTCAAAAGGTATGGGCTCTTTGGGAACAATATGACGAAAAACCATAAGACAAATGAGCACCCACTCACAGACAGCTACTCACTCGTGCAGTTCTAGGATTTAACTCCTATTTTCTCTTGTTCTTTTTTCTTCTTGTGTATATGTTTTTTGTGCATACAACAAATAAATAAAAAACCTTTGACAGGCGAAAACTAAGTGACAACAGCCTCTGCGCAACCCACATGCAACATGTCTAAAACGTATATTATGTACACTAACAACCCAGATTTCCTTTCTGTAACATGACTAAAGCACATTTGAAAGATGGGCTTCTGCGTAAGCCAAAACTGTTATCACCTTCAATGTCTGTCAATGCAAAAATAAAGAATTGATAAAAAAAAAGTATAGAGTAATGGGAACTTGGATGGGGTATATGGGTGTTTTGGGTGTTGTTGCACATGATCAGCAGTCAAGAACTTTTAAAACAATGAACTATACAATTTAACATTAATATAAGTGGTATAGTCATTCCTTTATGCCTTAAGGACTGCATTAAGCCGCTCAATCAGCCCCAGGTCAGCTTACGAGTCAACTGTGGATCGGTGTCAGAGTCCCTTCCTGAATGTTGGGCCATGATGCGGAGACTCCCTCCTCAAGGCTCAAGGCCCAGATAAGTAGCTGCTATTCCAAGTCATTGGCGAGCAGCAAGATACTGCCATGTATGACCTAAAATTATTCACATTTGAATAATACCTAAAGTCTAGCATGTTATGGTACCACAACCACTACAGCACCATTGACTAAAATAAATGCTATAAAATTGAATAAAATCACACCATTAACAGACAATTGTTAGAGGAAAGTGGAAACCTCCATCCTCATATTTAACTGTAAGGTTAGACCATTCAGAAACATCATACCCCTCCATTTTTTTCCAACTAGTTCAATTTCTTTATCTATTCGTTGACATTTTAAAACTGCAGGATTGTCATGGACTATAACACAATGCTTTGATACTGTATGCTTATCTTATTTGTGTTATACTCCTGATACATAGTACCTGAGATATTGAGTTGACATTGATGATTGCTTTAGAACAGGGAGTTTAGTATGCTGAGCTAACCTGCCGCCACTGATTTCGTTCTATCACTTCTCTGGTTTGATAAAGTAATAGTGATAATGGAGGCAGCTAGGAGGTAGCCTATAGGTGCTGCAGGGAGCACTAGGTATTGGCAAATCACTACCAAACAGTTTGAGAAAAATGTGGGGATGGTGCCCATAGACCCTGCACTATAACCACTATACTTTACTGCTTACTCCTCCTTTAATATGAAGGATTAGTACAGTGGTACTTATATAATATTAAAAGAGGGCATAGGAAAATTGGCCTTAAAGGGAAAAAAAAGGAATACTACTGGTATGAATTAAAGGTAAACACCACTGATATAAGAGAAACGACAGATTGCCATATAGTAAAGAGAGGATAGATTTGGATTGGCATGAATTTAATAAGACAGGAAGCCAGACATAAAGAACAGACATTAACTACAAGTACATAGAACGTATAAGGTACCTGGCCGAGTAGGAATAAGTGACCGGCCTGATATGTAGGTCCTGAGTGTTAATAGCAAATATGAGGAGGGAAGCTTAACACATGGATTTCAAAAATAATTGTTAAATGCTTACAGCATAGACTTTTTAAGTAAGTATAATAAATTTACAATACCATCTGTATTGTGTTTCTTTGCTAAGATTTAAAATAAAAAATTAAAGTACCTTTTTTTTGGGTGGGAGAGGGAAAGGAGTGGTCACTAAATTTAAATAGTAGAATCAAGTAACCATAAAGCAAAGCTTCAATTGTACTCTTTTTTCGGTTCCTGAATATATATACTTATTTTGGCTGAGTTTTTGTCACGCTTATCGGGGGATCCTAAACACGCAGGTAGATCACAGACACACAGGATGTCATTGGCAATACCTTTCCTTAGAGTGGCCAGGCTATGCAAAAAAGAGAGTAGTCAGAGGATAAGCCGAGGTCAAGGACAACAGAGAGACGGAATACGAAAGGACAAGCCGAGGTCAAAGATCAAAGAAGACAGAGTAAATGTGAGACAAGCCAAAGTTCAGTAACCAGATAATCAGACACAGTATAGTGCACTATTGGAAAGGAAAAGGTGTCAAAACAAAAGTTACAGTCACTGGAAACAATTCAGGTATTAGGGAGTCTAGACTGGCAGAATGTTTATCACACAGGCTAATTACGTCCTTCCATTTTGACAGGAATGGAGGCCAAAATATGTATCCATGTTGCAGAGGTAGACAAATTGTTCATAAAGACTGTGTATAATGTAGCTAAGTGTTGCTGAAACTAGGAAGGCCGTGACAAAAATGTCATCATAAATGTGTTGATACAAATTCTATGTCATAATAAGCAAAACAGAACAAATAAAAACATGAAGGTAATCATTCTTCAACTCACCAAACAGCTTATATTAATATCTAAACTAAACTTTTGAGCATTAAGAGGACAACCTGATTGAGATAAAGGAACAAGGGAAGTCACTGTAGGTCTAGAAAACCAAAATATGTATTACTCAAACCTTCGTAAAAAGAGATAATTACTTTATTTTTAAATTGTGTATCTTAATGCTTATCTACTAACACAAATTCCAATTGTAAACTCAAAATGGTTCACATATCTCTCCCATATTTAGTTATTTCTATGAAGTATCAGTGACATTTTTATAACCACTTTTAACCATTTTTTTAATAATTAAGTTTTTTTATACAGGATCACCCGAACAAAAGGCAAGATTCAGGACAACTATAACAGTTACTTTAGCGACCGTTATTTATTTATGTAATTTAAAGGGACGCTATAGTCACCTAAATAACTTTAGCTGAGCAAAAAAGCAGTTTTTGTGCATATGCCATGCCCTTGCAGTAAAAAAATAGCAAAATTAAATATTAATTATACAGTACATAACATTAACCATTAAGAACAGTTTAAACAAGTTGGTATCGTGTGGCCTGATCATTTCAGTACACCCACCCCCCTCCCTCCCCGTTTGTGAGAAGATTGATGGGTCAGCCTTTGCAGACCATGATATGTGTCATAATTATATCTCATTTCTGAATGTTCCAGGAGCTCAGTGTCTATTGGGGACATGTGTATTATCTGTCGGTGGGTGATGTAGGGTATGTGATGTGTTTATTTTGGAGCTTAGGCAAACTGTTTGTGGGTGCCAAATATCTCTGTGCCTCTGTGGATTAGTAGAGTTAGAGGTTAGTAGTTCTTCCATAATGCAAAGTTGTTCTACTCTCCTAGTGCAGTCAGCTATTGTTGGAGCTCTGCGTTTTTCCAGATTGCTTGTATGACAGGTTTTGCTGCATTCAGGTGATGACATGTCAATGATTTGCTATATTGATGTATCGAACTAGTAGTGTGGTGGAGCAGTGCTTCTGTTGCTGTTGTAAGTACTGTAGTTCATATGATGTGACTGATGTGATTTACGACTGTGGTCCACAATGGTTTAATTGAGTTGCTTTGCCACCTTATGTGCGTTATAGTTTATTTTTCAGAGTCGCACCTATAGCACTCCATAGGAACACTTGGGAATAGGTTGTAAAGATATACTGATGTCCTGTATCACCTCTGCAGGAATTTGTAGCTCATTTCCTGTGTAGTAGGTAAAGTTTTGACCTTTCACCAGAGTATCATGAACAGTCTAGGTCAGAATCCTATGCCCCGGTGTGAACCTCTGGTGGTATAGTAGAGTAAGCCTGATAAGTAATAGCCTCTGAAATTTCTGTATCCCTGGTGGGGACCGGGATAACCCCCACCGGTCCAGAGGGAGGGCTGTTGTGCAGCTGCAGATGTCACAAACATGGGTAGCTCCAGGCCTGGAGATCAGCGTTTCTCCTTTCAGTGGAGCACTCCAGATGTTTAGGCCGCAAAATAATTCCTGGTCTGAAGCTATGTAGTGGGACTTCAAGCTTGCTCGAAAAAAGCTTCTCAGCAGACAGGAACAGGTAAGTAGTCATGGAGGTTGCTTCTGAGTGTAAAATCCCACCAGAAATTCAGGGTTTTCATGCATTGTTTGAGGAGCACACATTATGCACGTTTATACACCATGATGACCAGGCCTCGCCTCCTGGAGTGGTCTGAGTTCTAACCTTAATAATTCAAATTGTGTAAGTTCCATCCCAGGAAGTGGCAGTACTTGGGTACGTATAAATTTAGATAGTTAGTTGTAAGGCTGAATATCTCCAAAGGGTCCGGAAACCCTTATGCTGCCATGGACCTATGCACCAAGAAAGACGTTTATGCCTGCCCTTTTCCCTATAATCAGCACTAGGAATACTCAATGAAGTCACACCACATGAATGAGTGCGGTTGGGGGCATAGCTCCTGTGTTGAAGCATCTTGCCAGGGTGTTGTTTCTATTGTGATGTTGACAGACAATCATTCCAATTTTACCCAGCTTTTTAGGGGATGAACTATAAATCCATTCCATAAGTCTTGATAGGACCGCTGCTATGTAATACAGCTAAATATCTGGCATTTCGATTCCCCCTTCTGATCTAGGACGGCACAGTAAAATTAGAGCAATTCTTGCTTTTTTGTCTGCCCATATAAAATGTGTTAAGGTCTCTCAAATTGATTTAAAGAATGAGATTGTAATGTATGTAGGTAGTACCTGGTACATATATTGGAGTTGCAGCAATATATTCATCTTAATGATGTTGACTCTACCAAACCAAGAGACGGCAGGTTTGTTCCATTTAGTCAGGTGTGCTGACACTTGGGTCGGTAGGAGAGGGTAATAGAACTTAATAGAGTGCCTCTGTTTCCAATATTTCTTTTCCACTACAATCAGAAACTTAATTTTATGGTATGGACAGAGAGTCAGATTAACATAGGGGCT